TATACCATCATGGCTACAACTCTTCTAGCAGCAGCAGAGATGTTGCATACAGTAAGGAAGTATTGCTGCAGAAATGCCTCTGCCATCAAGCACAGGTCAAGCTTAACAAGAAAGTACTGCAGAATGTATAGAATCATAGAATAGTTAGAGTTGGAAAGGACCTTAAGATCGTCTAGTTCCAACCCCCTTCCATGGGCAGGGACACCTCACAATAGACCATGTCACCCAAGGCTCTGTCCAACCTGGCCTTGAACACTGCCAGGGATGGAGCATTCACAGCTTCCCTAGGCAACCCATTCCGGTGTCTCACCACCCTAAAGAACCACCCTAAAGAACTTTACCACCAGTAACGAACTTCTTATTTATATCCAATCTGAACTTCTCTTTAAGTTTTAACCCGCTACCCCTTGTCCTATCACTAAATAATGAAGAGTCCCTCCCCTAGCCCCCTTCAGATACTGGAAGGCTGCTATGACGTCTCCATGCAGCCTTCTCTTCTCCAGGCTGAACAGCCCCAACTTTCTCAGCCCATCTTCATAAGGGAGGTGCCCCAGTCCCCTGACCATCCTCGTGGCTCTCTTCTGGACTTGTTCCAACAGTTCCATGTCCTTTTCATGTTGAGGACACCAGAACTGCACACAATACTCCAAGTGAGGTCTCACAAGAGCAGAATAAAGGGGCAGGATCACCTTTGACCTGCTGGTCACGCTCCTTTTGATGCAGCCCAGGATACAGTTGGCTTTCTGGGCTGCAAGCGCACACTGCTGGCTCATGTTAAGTTTCTCATCAACCAACACCCCCCAAGTCCTTCTCCACAGGGCTGCTCTGAATCTCTTCTCTGCCCAGCCTGTAGCTGTGCCTGGGATTGCTCTGACCCTGCTGTAGGATCTTGCACTTGGCATGGTTAAAACTTCATAAAGTTAGCATCTGCCCACTTCACAAGCGTGTCAAGGTCCCTCTGGATGGCATTCCTTCTCTCCAGCGTATCAACCAAACCACACAGCTTGGTGTCACTGGCAAACTTGCTGAGGGTGCACTCAATCCCCCTGTCCATGTCACCGACAAAGATGCTGAACAAGACCAGTCCCAACACCGATCCCTGAGGGACACCACTCATTACTGGTCTCCAGCTGGACACTGAGTCATTGACTGCAACTCTTTGTGTGCGGCCATCCAGCCAGTTCTTTATCCACCGAGTGGTTCATCCATCAAATTGATGTCTCTCCAGTTTAGAGACAAGAATGTCGTGTGGGACAGTGTCAAATGCTTTGCACAAGTCCAGGTAGATGACATCAACTGCTCTACCCTTGTCCATCAGTTCTGTAGCCCATCATAGAAGGCCATCAAATTGGTCAGGCAGGATTTCCCCTTAGTGAAGCCATGCTGGCTGTCACCAAGCACCTTGTTGTTTTTCATGTGCCTTAGCATGCCTTCCAGGAGAACCTGCTCCAAGATTTTGCCAGGCACAGAGGTGAGACTGACTGGTCTGTAATTCCCTATAATGCAAGTTAGCCTTAAGTTAAAAATCATCTACTATAATGTAAAGTTTTTTAATTGCTACCATTTTAAGTTACTATATTCCACAGCCAAAGAAATGTCTGTATTCTCTACTTTTTAATGTGATGCACTGACTGAAAACTTTATTTTGAACATAATGCAAATGTTATCTCTGCCACAGGAATAACACTTTAAATAAAATTCAGATTTGTTAATATCATTGAAAATGTTACTTATATATTTGCCATGCTAATAAAATTCCCACTTAAAATAAATTACTGAGAAGAAAACACTTTTACAGTTATGACATGGAAAAAGAACTGAACTGCTTATAAAAACAGACTCTATTTCTTTCCGAATTCTGAAAGGTTAACAAAGAATAGAATACACAGATCAGTAAGCTTTCAGTAACTTATGTGTTGTATACCTGGCAGCCATAATCCAAAAGAAGCTGCAGTATGTCCAAGTTTTCATTTTCAATGGTTATGGTAACAGCATTTCGTCCAAGCACATCCACACAATTTATGTTCATTTCGCCTGAGCTGTTTTCTTCTAAGAGTTTCTTAACCATGTAATAGTCACCTGCACAAGTAACATATGAATGTCTCTTAATATTATTACAAAGTAATAAAAGCATGTGAACATTGTAAGTACCAGCTACCAATGGACAACATTCCATAGCTGACAACAGACATCGAGTATGTCAGACAACTAAGAGGTCATCGTAGATAAGCATTCTCTCATCAGGGAGGAAACTGAAGGTATTTCAGAGTGTCTCTTCCAGGAAAGCACTAAGTCATCTACTTTAATTCACTCTTTTAATTCCAGTCTTATAAGCAAACACACACAAAAGCTCAGGTACTTTCAAAGCTGGGGCAATAGCTCACACATAACCTGTGGGACACAGGAAACATCAAGTGCATCAGAGAAGGCTTCTCTATTCAAAAGAGCCATAGGCTCAGAAAAGCCCCTTTTAAAATGCTACAAATGGGTCTGTATCTTCACTGAGCAAAAGCCACATCAGTCCTTTTCCCAACACTCTAATTCTCATATATATATTATCAAGGCAGGTGTGATATGATGCTACAATGTTATAAAATTCAAGCTAGCGAGTTTGATTAGCAACTTAATCTAACAACAGTATGACTTACAGTATGTAAGATGCAATTTCCTATTTGACTGAAGCACAAGTATACCAGGCTGCCCTGTTTAAATTGAAACTTCTTGCCAAAGAGAAAAGCTTTTAATTATTTTAGTCTCTATGGTAACAAAGTATATTGCAACATAAAAGACCACAACAAAGACAGACTGTAGTGTAGCATACTTACAGAAGTATATGCAGACTACTTCCATGTACAGAGTCCGCAAGAGTACTATACCTGCTGTTATATAAATGATTTTCTTATTTTTAACATTTTTTGCTGCACATCCATTTAGCTCCCTCAGCCTCTGTTTTTACTTGGAGAGGAAGCGGAGGCTCGTTCTGATCTTCAGGACAGACACGCACTAGGAGCATGGCTGCAGGCAGCCATGCCATAGAGAGCACCAGAACAAACTTCCTAAAGCCCGCTGGGTAACGTCACTGCAGAAATACTCTACCATTATCAACTAACCTAAACAAACGGGTAGCAGGCAGCTCTACGTATAAACAGACCAGCTTCCACAACCCTGTGTATGTCCTAAAGCACCCGCAATAATCCAGCACGTTATTAAAAGCTTTCATCAGCGTCCAGCATTTTGGACATGTTAAGATCAGTTTAAGACTCTATTTCTACTCAAGACCAACTACAAACATTTTAGAAGAGAAAACATTTTCCCATCCACTACCTTGGGTGCAAATCACAGTAAAACTGTTTCACTCATTGTGGGGATGTCTAGATAAGCAAGTTTTACTACAGCTATATAGTCAGGCACATTTTTAACGTGAGTGCACCAAGTATGACCTCCTGCGACACAGAGCGAGGTCCCTCACAAACACAGGAGTACACGGCCCAACGCCTCCTTTCCCCTGGTGCCAATGGCTCCGAGTTCAGCACGAAGAGCCGAGGCTAAGCCGGGTGCTAAGGCGAGGCGCGGTCGGCCTCAGCCGCCGCGTTGCCCCCTGCAGCGCACGACGAGGACCCGCAGCCTTCCCCCGGTACCCGGCCGGGCACTCGCAGGATTTGCTCCCAGTCTCCCCCACGGAGGGCTGGCGCCGGCTCGGGCCCTCAGAAAGAGCGGCCGCGGCCTCCGCTCGCCTACGGTGCGGCAGGCGGGGCCAGGCTGGGCAGCGGGGCCGGTACCTTTATCGCAGGCCAGCAGGAAGAGCTTCTCGTCCAGGGTAGTCTCTTCCTTCACCTGTCGCACATCCTTCAGCGCCAGCAGCTTGTTCGGCGAGGCCGAGGCGGAGGGGTCCGCGCTCTGGTACAAGGCGGCCATGGCGCCGGCTCCGCCAGGCCCATTAGAGCGTGGGCGGGATAGTGGCGCGGGGCAACTCCCGATGCCCGCTGCCGCACCGCAGAGAGCAGGGCAGCCCCGCCCGGCGCTGTCAGCCCCGCGGACACGCAGGGCAGAGCACAGCAGGGCTCCCGGACCGCACTGCGCAGGCTCCAATGGTGGCGCCCACCCTGCGGGGGGCAGCGGGAGGAGGGTGGGCAGGAGCGCCCCCGGGGGCTGAGGCGAACGATCGGCCGATGAGGCACTTTTAAAAGGGCCCCGTCTTGCTTTCGCCACTCGGCGGTTTACCTTCCCTCCCAGCAGCACTATGGGGTTGGGGTCGGAGCTCGCAAAAGAGGGGTGGCCTTACCCCAGGGTTAAGCTAAGCAATAACCATTAATATAAGCTGAAAGTCCAATTCTCTTTTTCAATCTCCTTTAGAAAAGTTGTGTTTGTTTAGCACCTGCTTTGAAACCAACAACGGTCCGAGAAGACAGTTTCGATGATGGTAGCTGTCATTTATGTTTCAAGATGTAGCTCAGCTTGTATGTCAAACTGACAGTGCTTAGCATATGCTATGGTTGCTCCTGAAACCCCTTGCACTTTGATCAAAGTTTCAAGTACTACAAACCATTAAAGAGACAGAACTAAATCCAAGCACTTAATTCTCTCAACTCCCAATATCATCTTTGATAACAGAAATTAAATGAATGCATCTTCTTTCTGATAATATCTTGTGCAAGATACTGAAGATAATAAAGCTTAGTCTGAAAGTTCCCTCACCGTGATTCTTAGGCCTGCTTTTCAGGAGCTGAAACAAAGTAGCAGCTTCATAGGGCAGGAAAACAAAATCCCCCCAAAACCCCACCTTCATTTTTATTGGTATTTCCTTCTTCCCTAGTGTTTGGCTTTTAGTAACAACCTTATTAAATGTCCAACTCCAGCATATTTTGTGAAAATTTGCAACTGTAGATAAAGGAGTACAAATACGTAAGAAAATAATTATAGACTTGATAGCATACAGACCTCTGCACACAATACACACTTTAGAGGAATCAAAGATGACATGCGTAAGGAAATGCAGTACATTAATGTGAAACCCCAAACTGGAGTAGCCAGCTGTTTATTGTTTTCTTATACGGTATTTTATGAAAAATGAAAAAAAAATATTAATCAAATGTTTAGTCCAACTGCAAAAGCTAACACATCTGCAGACCTAATCATAACATGATTACATTCCTGCTTAGTAATTTACAGACTGTTAATTTCCTGCTCAGCAACAGAAATAAACTGCTACATACATCCAAAGATTATTCCCACACAACAGGTTCATCAGCTTTATCAACAGTCATTAGTTTCTAGACATTATCAGAGGCCTTCACTTGCTCTCACTCAAGTCAATGACAGGACTCTCACTGGCTTCAAGAGGAGTTAAGCTCTCAAAAAATAAGGCAATGATAACTTCTGTGCAGTTAGGAGCAATACAATAGGATTGGAATGCCCCTTGAAAATTGTGTCAATATATATATATACGTAACACCCACTAAAAATAACGAAAACAAAGTTTCAGAATGGATCCTAAAATGACATACGTAAAATGATGCAGATTCTCATAATGCTATGAAAAATAATACAAATGAAGCTTCATTAATATGGTGTGGGGGGGGTTTAAGCCAGACAAATCTGTAATGTTAATTTGATAATGAACATGTTCTGAAAACAGTAATACCCATAAATAATCAATATGTTATGAAATGGAATAATGTTTTAACTAATATAAACACATTATTAAAATTTCATTAATTAGGATATTTGTGCATACAAATTTTATGATTTTATACTAAGCTTCAGAACGCTGAACTGCGAGGCATTCTTCGTGCTCAACATGGCTGAAAGTTATATTACATGTCTTAATTATTTTATTCTGTTGAGTCCTCTTCCCATCAAACATGCAAACACCGTCATCACCATTTTTGGCTTCACTTCAACCAGATCATCTGGGAGAGCATAGATACGAGCACCGATTTTTCGAGCAACTGAAATGGCATATCTTGGAAAACAAGAGAAAACATTGCATTATTTTCCTTGCATCTACTAGTGCACTAAGATTTACAACGTACTTTAATAGCAGGATATGCCTGTTCAGTACTTACACTCTGTGAGAAAATTAACATTACTGCCAAGTATTTTGCTACTGGTTATCAAAGCATTTGTTTTTGTCAAAGACAGTGTGTATTATGGCAGGCTATTAATAAATCAGTTGCAGTGCCATGGTGGTAGGTCATATCAGCTGTGAATTTAACTTCATATTTTAAGTACGCTAGAAAAATATCTCTAAAATACTATAAGTATAATATTTTGTATTTGAAGCAAATTAACTAATAGTGTAATCTGTTAATACATCAGTAAATCCTTCATTACACCATGTATGCACTTCCTGCACTTAAGGAAAATACAAAGTATCTATTTAAAACTTACTTAGCATTATTTAGTTTGTCTTCATTAGAAAGATCTTCTCTCTTGACCATTTCTGGACGAACTGCTTTTGGTGCAATAGCGTCTATTAAATCTAGGACAGGTAAACTAGTGCTAATTGATTTGTCCTGAAAGAAAAGACTCAAAACATTAGAATAAGGAATTTGCTTTGATTATTCTGACTTCACAATGCAAAAAACCCTACAGCACATTTTACATTCGTATTGAAAGACAGCAGCATGTTCCGTTACTTCATTGTGTGAAGGTTTTTCCCTCCTCTTTTAAAGGTCTAATGCTCTTTTCCACAATCAAAATGTTAAGATCCATACTCTGTGTTGATATTATTAATATTATGCAAACAGTTTAAAATTATTTAATGAAACAAACTCCTCCCCTTCCCTGAGGGAGGAAAGGAACTTTGAGAGAAGTCTAAGGACCAGACTTTCAAGACAACAAAAACGTATCTACATTCCACAACTACTTTTACTTTTCTCCTTTTCTTGTAATGATACATTCTGAAGTAGTTTATTGCTCACTCTTTTTATAACATTTCAACTCAGATGATATTCTGAGCTAGTACAAGCAGTCTGCGTTTTGTATTTAATACATGGACATGTGTTTTATTCTGTTCTTCAAATAGCAAGTGCTATTACTGCAATAATTTCTTCCCAACTGTTAAGGCAGACAAGCAGCTGACGACGTCAAACCAAGAGAAAGCAGACAGTGCAGTTAGGTGCTGCACATAAGCCATGCGCATGACATGGCTGCTTTCACCACCAGGCCAGAACTATGAATTCAAATTCAGTGAAGTCCCACAGAACCTTCACATTAATTATACATTTAAAAATAGTAATATATGTCTACTTGAAAACACTGAATGCATGCAGTATCTCCCCAAGACCGTAAGTCAGAACGCACACCTTTGTAATTTTACTGTTTAAACTAATGGCAATTCAATAGAATTTTGCTCTCATAGCCCACAAGAAATATCAGGGACCTCTGCCTTCTTTGCTACACTTCCTGCTGCAGTAACCCCAAAATACAGACAAAAAAATCAGATTCTGAAGGAAAACACATAAGTGGATGTTGTCAAAAATCAGTAGTGAAAAAAAACACCCACTTGTAATGAATAATGTCACTTTACATCAGTAGCTCCTTATCTTTACTGATGTACGATCAGCTGAATTACCTTTAAAAAATCCAACCAATGCCCCCTAAAACACATGGGCATGCCAAAAGCAAGATGCTGGGACAGATTCTCTTCATACTTTCAGCTTATTTATACCACCATTATTCCAATTTATGTAGAAATAACAAAAGTAGGAATCCTTTTTAAGATTATGACCTAAGTTACCTCTAGAGTAAAAAGGAAATAATTTGTTCTATAAAATTATTTGATATTGCCTTTTACCTAATGCTTACCTAATTCAATTAGTAACACAGCAAGACCTCAAATTTTTAACTTGCTAGGTTCTTATGTTCCTGTTGAAAACCACAGACATAACTGCTTCAAAGTTATATTTGCATGCAAGTGCAATTATTTATCTACCATTTCTAAAGAATGAGATTTACACAGCATGGCACACCTGACATACATATAGTACGTTTAGTGTTTAACACTTGACGAGTGTGAAAAGAAAGCTTCCTTTATCCGTTTGCTTTAGCTGATGAATGGGAAAGCTGGTTGGTAAGGGTCTGCTGCACATCAACAGTGCCAGTGAAGACAAAAGATGTTGCTGCTTAACTTGGGCTCCCTCTCCTGGCTTTGTCACATAAGAGTGAATCTTTTTGATCAGCTGTTCTTAAAAATGGCGATTACTCTTCCCCCCCACCCCCACCCCGTATTTCCAAAATCATTCTTCATGTTTGTACAAGCATGAGAGTGCCTATATCCAAAAATTCAATAGGTACGACATGCGATGCCCAAACATGGGTAATTTTGGAAAAAAAAACCCTTTGAAAGTTTAGCCTTTGTTGATGTAATTGTTTTGGGGTTGGTTTGTTTTGTCAGAGTAACAAGTTGTAATTTAGTTTTGTTTCTTATTAATAAACATGTAAAATACTTTTGAGGTTTCACAGACTGTCAGAAATATTTCCTTATATAATTACGCTACCTGATGAGAGCTACTGTTAAAGCCAAATTGTTAACAGGTTAGATTAAAAATCCCCAACCTGATTATATATATAAAGAAAAGGTACATCAATCTGATTTACCTTGAAACTCATAATTGAAGTTTTCTTATTTGCTTTTGCAAGTGTCTGATTCACCCACTTAATAATAATTTCATCATTTACTTTTTCCCCGTCTCCAAGGTCTGACAGTACGTTCAAAGTATACCTTAAATAAAGGAAACAAGTCTGAGTTGAAGCAAGTGGTAGAAGTTTACTCTGCTGACAGTACAAAGCTACAAGTAAAATACTACTTGTGCACAGTAATGATGCCAAATGATCACCTTCATTATGTACCCTTATCTTAGAAACTATTTAGTACTTAAAATCACCTTTTCAGTTGTTGCAAGAATAAAATGATACTTATTTTTGAATAAAAATTTATAAGAGTCACTATTACATCATCTTTCTATATTTGTTTTACTAAGCACACAGTACCTAATTTTACTTTATAACCTTAAATGACTCCCTACCATCCAAGTCACCTTGAAAAGTGGATCAGAACAGTCTGACAAACAAAAAGCACTGAGTGTTTAAGGGTAGGTGTAAGAAAACTACACTTGTGGAAAATTCCTGCAATAAAATGCTTTTTACTGAAACAGATTTATATTTTTCCTGCTCAGTGTACTGGCTAGATTTTGATTTTACAATAGTTACATTACTATAGCTGTGATAGCCTAAAAATTTCTTCCCATTTTTCTATAGTGCATTACCTCTTCCTATTTAACTTTTTTGATTTTACAGATATTTAAATTACTTAAAGAAAGGTACATGGAATCAATATGAAATAATCTCTGCTCTTTTTACTTGCTTCAGGATTTATATTTTGAACCACAGTTCATAGTATATAAAGTTTTAATACTTTCTGTAAATGCATGTTTTCACATACATATTATTGTGGTTTTAACCACTACACAATATGTAAAACTACAGAAAAAAAAAAAAAAAGAAAGAGATAGCTCTCTAAAATACCTGTTGGGTGAACTAACACTGGGTTTAATTTGCCTTGATACAGACATACATGTACGCACATGCACAGATACATATATATACACATCTATCATATACTGTGCCTAACTTACCTTCTCATCAGCTGCCATACCAAAGCTAAAGTCAGAGTTGGGTTACCCTCATTTAGATCATGTCCAGCAATACCAACCAGTGAGAATTTGGCTTTTGTCTTCCCGAGTTCTACTGCATAATTGCAATTCTCAATCTAAAAATAAATGTTGCATGCAAATAATGAAAATGCCTTAATATTTCTGTAATACAGACCTATAATATATGTTTATTTTGAATTTGGCTTACTGTTACCTTTGATGAGATTTGGAGCCAAGAAAGATCTCTAGCCTTTCTATACTACGGTTAAAGTAACAGCTTTTACTATAAATATAAGTATGCAAGATTCCAAGGATGATCTTTTTTTCATACTTGAGAAAACCATATTCATTTCCACTAAAGTCAACGAATTTATATACACTTACACCAAATCTGAATTTGGAAAAATATTTAAATGTGTTAAATCTTAGGCAGTATTTCTTTTCCCCTCTACTTTTTTCTTGACCCATAATGATTATAAAACTCATTGAAAGCTTCTGGATTCTGCAAGTCTTGCAGTTCTCCTGGTAGCATATAAAAGCACTCTGTGATGAAATGCCTCCCAATGCAAGAGCATCACATAATGATAGCTGTGGCAGGCCTGAAACTTATACACCCTAATTAGACCCCAAATTAAATACTACCAAAAGTAATCTACGTTTAGAAACTGAAGTGATATATGTTATAACTGCTATTTATTCACTGGGATAATATACAAAAGATACTTTTTCCTTTTTTTCCCCCTCTCTCTTTCTCTCCTCCCACTCTCCCCCCAGCAGCATGCAAATCTGAGAGAGACAGACAACCCAGACCATTACAAACATAACAATAGTAGATAGTGAAACCAACTGTATGCCAGAGTTATCTGCCCACCTTTTTCATGTTACCACCAAGTAATGGATAAGGAGGTTTGTTGACGCGGTTCCAGTCAACCAGCACACGAGTCATATCATACAATTGGAAGATTATTAAAGCATCAGAGAGGTCACTAAACCAAAGTAAAACAATGTTTTTAAGTACAAAAGCTCATATTCACAATGGAAGTAAATACTGAGACTTTTCCAAGTGTAATTAAATTGCTGAAAATTTCCAATCACATAAATAAAAACCTGTCACATTCCGTGGAGAAACTGGCCTATTCCCTATTATTCTAACACGCGATTATTTACACTGTTTTTCATTTCATTATTTTCATAAATTTTAGTGAAGCAAACACAGGTAGTGGTTTTACCAACTTTATTTAAATAATTGCTTTCATAGGGTTGGCACAGACAAAAAATTTAGCAAAACAAATTTTCATTGACTGATCTAGTTTTAGTTTCCTCAGGGCTTTCAAAAAAAGTCCTGAGCACTTAATCTGCACCCACAAATGTGTAGTGCTAAAGAATAACCAAACCAATGTATTTATCTTATGGAAAAAAAAAATAGAAAAAGTATTTTCTCATTATAAATTGCATTCCTGATAATTCCCTTCAGCTAATTGCAGAATTAAATTCTCTATGTTAAACTATCTACAGACAATATTCACTTTACAGAGGTCGTAACAGGAACAATGAAACCTAACATCAAGTAGACATGCACACATATGTTTACAGTTGCTCCCTATATCCCATCTTTTATTGATAGGACAGAAAGAATGTTGGCACAATTTTAAAGTAATCAAAAGCATGTAAACAGCATGTTAAACAGCTCTTTCTGAGGGAATACAATGCTGCATTGATTCTTATAGTCTGATCAGCAGACACTTTTCCCCTCTTACGGTTTAGAATTACAGTACTGGTTTGTGGTCATGTCATGAGAGAAAATAGAAACCATGCGTTATAAAACACAATTATCTCAACTTTTTTTTTAAGACAAAATGTATAAGTGAGTGAGAGGAGCACATCGAAAGTGCTTCGGTTTTCTAGGATTTCTAGGTCATGACCAGAATATCTTAGTCAGACACTGCCTAATGTGGTTCCATGGATCAGACCTGAAGTTCCTATCACACTGTGTGAAAACCTGGAAATCACTGTTCAAGCAGAAGGAAAACTTCCCTTCATTCTCCCCATCATTCTTCCATTGTCATCCAAAGGAAATCAAATTCTTGTTTTTAAAAAAGCCTTACCTGTATAAATGATTAACATATGGGTTTACACCCAGTGAATTCATCCAGTTTCTGAAAGTCCTTTCTTCGTTACTTTCTCCTATGATGACAAATATAAATCTATATAAATTATTGGAAAACACACTTTAATAAGCAATGTTTAAATGGCTCTCATACTCTTCCCCCACCTCTCCTTCCTACCCCCAAGATGACTTCATCCTTTCCCTAACAGTAGTCTCCACTGGCCAACAAGTCAAGGCAATTGTATCAAACTCAGAGTCTCTCAGTCCTGGCACTTACACGGAGTACTATTAGACTACATTTTTCTGTGTGAATATAATTTTATAGAATACAGAAATAATTTGTTGATTATATTTTATGTAATTAATACATAGGGGAGAAAATAGTGGGGTTTTTTGTTTGTTGTTTGGTTTTGTTTTTTTAGAGTTCCCAAAACCAGAACGGTGGAAACTGCATTCATCAGTCTCTTTAAATCTGCTTGAAATGGCATATTCTTATCAAAAGTTAGTACTAACACACTTAGCATTAAACTCCAGAAACTACAGCTCAATGTCTTTCCACACAGAAGTTCCTAGTATTAATTCGTGAAGGTCCTTCCCAAGCCAATGGACCTCACCTTTTTAGTTTTTAACACTGGAGACTTAAACAGGCAGCACTGTATTGGTTAAATTTGTGAAGCTATTTATAAGGCCAAGTGGGCTAGTTACTGTTGCAATTTTTACTAGCAACTCTGCTTATCAGAAATACAGATAACTGAGTAGGAAAAAACAAAACCACCCCCCCCTAAACCTTCACTTCCCTGACTTAGATTGTTTTTAATCTATTGTAATCATGAGCCCTAAGCCTTTCTTTATAGAGTTTGCAGTAATACTTTAATTTTCTACATACAACATTATCTACATTTTAACAACGTATCTGTGGCCAGCTGCTTGTGACTCAGTGCTGGATAAGCTTATTTTCTTTTGCATCAGAGAGGAGCATTTGAGAAAATATTTAGCCTAAATATGCGAGCTTAGAACACCCTCATCATTTTGTTCCCCTGGGCTGATAGTACACAGTTAAGAAAACAGGACTACTTTAAGAAAGAAAACTGAAGATGGAGAAAACTTCCCCCAACAACAAAGGAGCAGATTTCTCACAACTGAAACATGTAAACATCAGATTATCCTTTTTTTTCTTTTTTTTTTTGTGTGTGCTTGGGTTTTCATGTGTTTTTTGTTTGGTTGGTTTTGTTTGTTCCTTAGAGGACAAGGTTACCAAGTTTGTCTAAGGAGGTTTACGTAGCAGGAAAACTGTCTCATTTAGTACCGCTGTTCTACAGTGACTACAGAACAATGAGTGTTTTAGCAAAATGAAGCTATTGTATAAACATGTATTTATCACTAGAATAGAAAAATCTTTTTAGTATTATTTCTCCATGAATTAGACCTATGTCATAACATCAGCTTTTAGATAGGGGTTACAATTTTAATCTAGGTCTCTCCCGTATTATACAAAAGCTCTGGACTTCAAAATATATTAAAAAATAAATAAATTCAGTAATGTCAGCTGTAATTGACATTTTCCAACAGAACAAATTTTATTTATAAAGTTTCAGCCAGCTTAGCAGTTACTTTCCTTTCCAGTTATGAAATAAACCATATCTACCCTACCGAAATCTTTTCTAAATTAAGAGGTCTTTTATATGCAATTCAAACTAGTATTTGTTTCAAAGATTTACTTGTAAAATTTACCAGTCACTGATGAATATGTGCTGAAGCTAAAAAAAGAAAACCCCAAACCAACTGTTCTGCAAGGTCTTCAAGCAGTCAGCTTTGTTTCACATATTTCTTCCCACAACGAAATTTAAAAGAATCACATTTTATGACAAAGCTTTTAAAAATATCAGGTTTTCCATAAAACAGATACAATCAAAATACAAATATGATATATAATTTAAGTTTACAGAGTAACTTAAGAGGTTATTGTATTTTGAACAAGTCCCTTTTTCTTTTTTCTTTTTTTTTCTCCCCAAGTTTTTAGGCTTGCTGAGCTTTGAGTGATTTGCAACACCTAAAATACTGACTGCAAAGTGTTTTTAGGAACACTTGTTAATTGCAAGACAGTAACAAGATTATTTAATGAGCTTTTGTTAAACAAAGAGTAGCTACAAAACCAGATACTCAGCAACTGCACTCCAACTGACCATTTTAAAATGCATGCATAACACTGTTGAAAGAATCCAAAGCAGGAGCAAAAGCATGCAAGTTGGGCAGCACCCTTTTCGATAGCAGAAATCCAAGAACTAAACCCAGCATACTGTATTTAATATGCCACTCTAAATAAATCCCTTTATCATGCAACATATAAGCATTTTCCAGATGGCTGAAAACTGACCAATTTTTTCTCTCTATTCTTTTATCCAAAATATACCTTGTGATCCTATCAGGAGCATATCTTCTGCTGAGTGGTGCAGCAGATAGCCAAAATCATTGGAAAACTGCAGAAAGGGGGCAGAGCTACATAAAAGAGAGAGGAGCAAATTTGGTAGCATCCTTTGTATTTATCACTATCTCTTTGAGACCGTTATACTATGGAACTGAGTGGGGAGAAGCCATAGGGATGGGGTCAAGAATCCAAAGGGCTCCAATTACCTACAACTGAGAAAACAGAGCTCAAGATGCAATTTGTACTGGAAGTTCAGCTGACCTGAATGGGAGTAGTTAACCCTCTCCTGGTAACAGCCTTGAAGTCCAGCAGCAGAGGATATCTACATTGGAGGAAATGGGTGTGGCTAGAAGTCCCTCCTCTTCCTCCCCCCAAGGACTCAGCTTTTTGTGAGTCTTAGACTCCCAACTCTTCTGTTTTCCCCAAATGTGAGGTTCCTCAGAGCAACAGCAACACTTGTGCATTCCCTGAAGGTCAGGACGTCCCGCTCCATCCCGACACAATATCCAATGTTCATTTTGCTGTCAGTATACCTGAGGGATATGCTCTCTGTATACAAAGGCACATCACCAGACTCCTTAAGTATCATTAGAGCAGATGCCAATTTATGCACAGTGGTCACTGTCTAAAACCAAAAAGAACAGCCCCATCACGCTCTCTGGGTGGAGCAGTCGCTGAAAAGATGGAATTTATGCACAAAAATGAAGAATTTCAGAAAGCTCTACTCACCCACACACATCCAGAGCTTTACATCTAGGTTTGTAACCCCTATTGGCTAAACCCACAGAAATAACTATATGGCACTTGACTTACTGCAAGTCTTGCCCCAATTTTGTATGCATCCTATTAGACCTGTGGGATTTTTTTTTACTTGTCCTATAGTTACGACGGCATATTAAAGTAATAGAAAAATACAATAATAATGCAAAAATCAACCAGAAAGGGACAGAGATGAACAAAACGGGGGGGGGGGGGGTGTTGAAGAAAAATAAACATTTCAGAATAAACACTTTTATGGAGTACAGAAAAGTACTAAATACAGTACCTACATTAGGAGGGGTCAAATCTGCATTTCATGAAGCAAAATAGGAAAGCATTATAAATTATGAGTAAAATTTCAACAGACAATCTATGATGAAACTATAAAGGAATGAATCTCATATTTAATATCACTACCTTGAGAAAATATCAATAAAAACACAGGATTTTATGGAAAAAATAAATTAACAGAAAATCAAATACAAAACATTGTCTTTCAGCTGATGGTTCAGAACTACACGATACCACAGGAGCTATTTTTGGGGGGCAAAGGAGAGTCATCTACTTGCCTTTTAACAGACAATATTGGCATGATCCATCTTTAAAATACATCCTATAAACACCAAGTTAAATTTGGCTGGTATCTGCATTACAAAATTGTAATCTAGTATTCAGGCGATTGTAACTTTGTACAAACTGTTTTAACTGAGGCTTTGATCTCATCTAATTTTTTTTAGGAAAAGTTCAGAAAATAGTTCAGCTGGTTTTGCCATGTAATGAGAATGCTTCTAAATTTGACCAAGCTTTCAGTATTTTGAATCATACCTGCAACTTTATGTTCAGAACAGATAAGCTGAACGGAATATACTCCACTGCCACACAGCTTCTGTATACACTTCCAAGAGCATACATTTCTGACAAGACTGCAGCAGAGGAAGAGCAATCATTTGTCCTAGACAGCAGGGACTGCAGTGACTAGGGATATCACAGCTAAAAAGGGAAAACTACCTCTGATACTTCTACCACAGCTGACACCCAGCTGAAACTAGATGGGCTGGAAGCCTGAAACAGGAGTGGTCTGAGGGATGCAGGATTTGTGACATAGGGATGCAGCAGAGCAGATAAATCATGAAAAAATAAGGACCGAAGGAAGATGGACTCACCTAGATGGAAAGGAAATCTGATAGGAACAGTAAGAGGAAGGTAGGAGTAGGCAGTGCAGAGGAATATGTGAACATTGCTGATGATTCTCCCGAGTGCGGCACCCCTGATTCTCACCATTCCTTTGAGATCCGTGAACAACTGTGAAACACACTGGCAGGGGCCATTTCATTATCCTAGATTACCTGGTCCACAGAAAGGGTAACAGCCAAAGATTGCTACCAATTGTCCCTTTATTTCTAGCATTAGGGATCTGAACTTTACAGTTGATGTTCAAATTTACTCATGTGCTATGATTTACATAGGTTGCTGACACAATAGATTAATCTCAGTTGCTGATACAGAAGCCCTTTTTAATGTTGCCCATGTTAAAAGGCAACAAACAAACAAACACACATACACACGCAAAACCAGTATGTGAAACGTACTTGAAAAAATTATTACAGTTGCTTGACACTGCAAATTAGGGAAAGCTACAATTTGTGCATCAGCTAAAATATGAACAGTATGGAAAGAAGTGGGAAACTGCAAAGAAACTAAGAGGACAGTTTTGCTCTTGCAAATGTATAATAGAAGGTTATTCAGGAATGGCCTTTGGTTAGGTTAATGCAACTATAGTCACAGTAATGGGAACTTCTACTGAGGCTTATAGTGACATCTAGTGAGGAAGCTCTATATGCTGGTGTTAACACAGGGACCATTGCACAGGGATCCTATATCACAACCTAGAAGGAATACTTAAATAGAAATCACTCATATTCTTGCCTCCCATATGCTTAGTAAATTGAGTACCTTCTAATAAATTGAGATCGTAAGATGAATTGTCAGGCTTGTGTAGGGCTGGATATGTGTTAAAGAGATTTGCAACAAAAGCCAAATTGAGTTTAGGGTTGCCTGCAACCACATCAGCTGGAGTTACAAACTGTCTGCAGCCCAATTTGTCTGCCTGTTGGAGCATGTATTCAGCCCTCCTCAAGTCATTTTTATCCTAAAAGAAAAAGATACAAATTAATTTGTAATGAATACTAGCATGTTTCCATTCTTCATCTGAATCTTCAGCTTGGCAAATCTTTAAATGACCCATGTCAGTTCCTCAGTCATTCCCCCCAATGCCCAAGCTAGCTCGCTCAGCCCATAACAACTCCCCACGTCCCATCTTCCTTCCACTTTCTTTCTGTCCTTTGATTCTGTTGCTGCCTCTGCAACTTTCCTCAGGAATCACAGCAACAGCAGCAGCAGTTAGAAGTGCATTAGTGATATTTACATTTCCATTCAGTTGATTCCCACACTGCATTTTCTCCTACATATGCTGAAGGTTCATCGTGACTGCTTGAAACTGATCCTGCAGCAGCACAGTAACTACAGATCATGCCCCTAACCCTCAGCAGGAGTTTGAATGCTTGGTGATAATCCACCTGCTTTCCTTTCAGTACTTTTGCTTCTAAGTTATCGTAAATTGGTGACTTATATGTTATTTTGTCTTTATTATTAATCTATATAGAATAAATCAGTGCCCACAAGAGTTTAGCTATACCTTTTGCCTCAGAACAGTCTAGTGTGTACTTTTTGCCTCTAATCTCCATAACGCTAACCATTACTATTTATGGGTAAGTAAGTTAGCAATTGAATTACTATTAGAATTGAGTAACACTCAGTACTTCAGTATTGGTACACTCAACCTGGAACTTCCTCTAAAACAAGCTGTTACATGTTATTGATAATTGATTTATAACCCATTACAGAACATGATCATATGAGCTGTAAGAAATTACATGGAAAAAACCTAAATACTATCCTTTCTCATTCAAAAAAAAAAACAAAAACCCAAAACAAAACAAAAAAAACAAACAAAACAAACAAAAAAAAAACCCACCACAAAAACCTAACCCAAACCCACCCAAGACACAAAAGCGAAGAAACAAAACAGAGCTCTCCTCATGAATGAGTTTGAGAGAACTGAAGCTTGTAAGCAAACAAAATTTTGCATGTTGGTTTTCATTATTATAATAAATAATGATATTCTACTTAAGATTCTGATCTATATCAAGCAGAGAGTTCAATTTTACATCAAATGCATTGTCAGAATAATCCTTCAAAGGAGCATTATGTAGCAGTTTAGAGAAAGTGGCTTCATATCTACCTAGGCTGGTTTTAGACCATCTACACCTCTCCAACTTAAAGGCTGAAGGATGTCACAATTCCCTGCTGGTTATTGGAAGGCCTCCCATGTTACTTCTGAATGCTATTTGGTTTGAGGAAGGATCACAAAGTTTGTTAAGTCTACTCTTTTTTTTTTGGTCTGAATTCCAGAAGAGCGGAACTGTGCAAGATGTTGTAAGATTTGTACTGAAAGACTCAACTGAAAATAAAAGAATTAGACTGTATTCTAAGTAACACATCGCTCCAAATTTTAGACTGTAGGATTCATTACCCTGTTTCAGCAGTGCTCCAGAACTTTACTCTAGTTCTCACCCATTTGAGCTTTTGTGACATTGAGGAATCTGACTGGTTTTGTATGCTTTACAAAACAAAAGAGGATTCTGGGACAGCCTTGTAACCAGGTTGTTGGATACATATATAACTGCAGTTTATTTTTATGTTTCTGGATACTTACATGAAATCCTGAAAAGTCAATTTTAATGGGCGATTCATCAAGGTCACCTCCTTTGGGTGCAATCTGATCTAACAGATGGTAGTATGCTCTTGAATCCTAAAATGAGCAATAATATATATATACAAATTAAAAAGAGCAAGCATGTAGACTTTAGTAATCATTTACTGCTTTTATAGTCCAGTTCAACAGCTATGCAAGTAAAAAATAGGGCACCCTAATTCCAGTGAATATGGATGAGGTCATACAGCCATTTTACTACACTATTTCACATGGAACTTATTTAGCCAGGTAACTAATTATTCTGTGCAATTTTAGTTAAGTTTATTTTCCTGAATATGAACTAGATGGCTGTAATTAAGATATTTAAGGCAAATTTGTACAGGTTACCCACAAAAAAATCCCTCCAATATGGATCTTATTTTCAGTGTTGGTATTTTATTCCCTCACTATCATTTTCTAATAGACTATTTTATAAAAATTTCTCTTTCTTAATTGATGAGGTAATTGGAATTAAAAATGGAGAGCAAAGTGGATTCTTTCAGGATGAATCTATAGTGTTTGATGCAGTTTTCAGTATGCTTCTATTAGCAACCCCGTCTAAGAAACTAGGAAAATAAAACAAAACTCTGACAGTTCTAGCAGTATTTACTGCTTCCCTTAAACAGCGTGTAATATTTTTACCATAGTAACAGTTTTCATACAAAACCCTAGTTAGTTTTTCTTTAATAACAGCCTTCTTGATGGCATCTGAAGAGTTGAAACTAGTCATTAATGATATGGTTTTCCTCAATGAAGAGCTCTTGTCACTTTAGGCAACCTTTCTGCTTTGCTTTTAGTTTTAAGAAGTTGGAGTTTTCTCTCAAGTGGACTAACTATGTTGCTCTGCACACCTTATGCAGAATGGCTAAAGAAGAGAGAAGAATTACACAGATCTGCCCCCTACCCCAAGAAACCAGCATGCCTTTCAGTCCCCTTGTGTCACTAAACTCGCATAACCAACAAAGCACAGTGATTCAGAGGAGATACTCTCTCCTTGGATCAAGAATCAGTAGTTACTCCAGATAGACTTCTGTAAAAGTTCATTTCTCAAGAGGTTTCTTACTCTTCTGCAGAATGCTAGGTGCAAAGGGCAATCACCATTAGCAAATATGCATTTGGATGAGATTTAAATGCTATACACCACTTCTTTAAAACAACAAAGAAGAGGAAAGATGGGTTTCTGCAGGGGAAGGATGGACAGGAAAAAGATAAGAAGATAGTGCAAATTCTCCTAAATAGATCTTAGAGCATTAGAACTTCCCTGAATATAAGCTCCTCAGAAATGTTTCCTTTCACTGTGATGTGGTAAATATGTGGTATGAGCAACTGAATAGAATGTAAGTAATCAGAATAACGCTTTTCAGTGCTGAAAAATGCAGGATGAACCTACAGATAGAAAAAACAGATTACTACTTTTCTAAATACTTCTGACTAATTTTTTTCCATGCATAGTATGTTTAAATAACATCACATTATATTTTCAGAGTCGATAACTACATACCTTGATGTCTTGGCTGAAGTTATTTATTTTCTGCCACCCTGCATTGGCCAGATGGTAGTTCACCCAGCGTAGCAACAGCTCTTCCGGGGAAAGCTTCATTAACTGATCTAGTTCTTCCCCTTCATTTAACAAGGTGATAAGAGCTAAAAGCAAGTTTTAAAGAAAGCCAAAATCACTGCTATTGTGGTGTCAATTAATTCAAATTGCCAACATTGCTATACCCGGCATCCCTCTTACCTTCGTTTCTAGAGATCTCAATATCAGCAAAAAGACCAACTTTAATGATCTGCCACAAGAGTCCTAATACCAAGTGTGGTTTTCCTTCTTGCAAATCTTGTGATCCAATATTGACAACCGTACAGCCAATAGCAGATGCTGAGTTCAGAGCCAGGTTTAGGTTTTCCTATTTGCAATATAATTATTTAAAAAAACCCACAACAAAACAAACAAAAAACATATGAGGTTGTAATTCTTTGTAAATTTATTCTTATTACATTTTGTAAGATTCAGAAGTTATAAGAAATAATGCATTAGTTTACAGTTCCCAGTGGAAAACTGCACTCTGGAGATTTTTTATGAACGACCATGCATCTAATAAAAATTTAATGGAAAACATTATTGACAGTGTTTAATACAGACCCACCAAAAAATTGTGGACCATCTTCTGCAGCTTGGATTGCTGAGGAATACCCTAAGTAAACTACTTTTTGTAATGCAGAAGTATTACAAATTACACAACATTGCTCAAAATATCAGGTGCTTGATCCTGTGGAAGAAACATGCCCATATGGCATTCTGCCCTGTGCACAAGGCTGACATCACTGTCATCGCATCTTGATCTTACACAGGCTGACACATTTATTCAAGGAACTGTTAAACTCTAATTGAACAGTGCAAGAAAATCATGGCAATTCAACATCCTGACATTGAAAGCAAAGCTAATGATTGCCACAGATTAAACATTCCAAGAAAAAAAGCCTGTCAGCTTTTATAATTATTATTTTCTTGTGTAATAGTTTAACTATCTACAGTGACAACATAAACACAGGTAATACCATCTTTGCTGACATGTTTTCTTTTAATAAGCAGAGCTTACAAAACTCAGAGGTTTTACAACATGGTGTGTTTTTACTTGCCATATTTTAAATTATACAGCCTGAAATGAAATTCTGCCAATTAACTGAAGTTTTTAATAAGGAATTTTTTGTTGGTCTTTTTGGGTTTGTTTTCTTTTTTTCCCCTCATTAGGCTGGTAACTTAAGGACGTAGGTCCCCAAAATATGACCTGAGGATCCACTCAAAAGTCTAGAATTACCTTCTTCAGATACTTAGTAAAGCAGAACAAGAATAGTGAACAGGAAAGCACGAAAAAAACAAGTTCCCATGTATATCACCTAAGAAACAGGAGGTTTCTTAACAACAGGTTATTAGAAAATAAATTTCATGCTTTGATATTTTTTAACACATAGGACTTTATTTTCCTCCACTAAAACTGTCATTAAAACAAAACTGTAGAAAAATATTCTAATTTTTAATTGGTAGCAAGTTTCTATCTATGCAGTACTTACAGAAATAGTGAAAGGAGTGAGTTTCTTCTTGTTAATAGCCCTTTCATCAATTGTATCTGGTTGTGAAAAGTTGATCATTTTGCTAAGGAACAAAAGTCAGAGTTTATTCAAACTTTAATTTCTCTGAAAATATATTATTTGATTATAAGCGCTTAACACTTTAAATTAGCTGTAAATATTTCTGACAAGAGGAAAAAATACCAAAACCTCATCTTCTAAACCTCTTTTTCCTATTAAACAATTGCACATTCATCCATAAACCCTCAGATAATATGTAATTATAAGAAACTTGAGCAATTGAGGGTTTGATACTTAAGCAAGAGGATATGCCTCTGCCATCAAAACAGGTTCTTGAGAAGATTGAAAAAGTCAGTTAAATAATCTCTAGTGAGAATCTGTGATATAATCAATATATTGCTGAATTACATTTTGATAGTATCTTGCATTTCTATAATATCCTGCATTTACAAGGATCTCAGACTAAGTCATGTCAATAGTAATATGCTAATCCCATGTTACCACAGTGTATGAATAAGTACTATTAGTTTACTTCAAGTAACTAGAAAGTTGCAGCAGACTAAACTTAAGGGACCTACTCTATGCCCTCTGTTTTGTCATAAATTTAACTTGGATTTCTGTTCCTCCCATCCTATGATTTAGTAACTACATTTAATAACTTCATAAAATATTTGAAATACAAAGTCTTCTAATTATTTCAGCTAATGAATATATGAACTATGTAATTATCTCCTTTATAAAAAGTCTGCATAATTACAGGTATTAAGTAGAAACCCACTTCTATAATGCATGCATAGAGTCGCATAAAAACTTGCTAAAAATAACACTTCTATTCACAAATAGATTTTCCCCATATCAATACTGGTTGAAAAATTTAAGACTATAATTTAAGACTCAAGTCTTGATATTAAAGCCTGTCAGAAGTTTTCCAATTCAGATAACTGTGACCAGCATTTAACCACTGAGATAAATATCTGTCCTTTCTCACAGCCCTGGACTCACCAAAGGACGATGCCATCTGCAAGGGATTTAAAAAGACTGGCATCTGATGGGTTCATAGGTAGGAGGTGCTTACAGTCTGGGTCATCTTGTAGAGCTTTATTTATCCAATTAACAAAAGCAACCTTTTCTTCCTCTGAAAAGAAAAGCAGCATTAAAAGATTTATTGTCATTTCCACTAACACATACTCCTAAACATCAGACTTGGTCAGAGGCACCGCTGCAACAAACCCTCTTAGTTTCACAGGGACCAGTTACTGAAAGAATCAGACCAGTGGGACAGAACACAAAAAAACAGCATACACAGATGGATCTCTCCTAATCTTTCTCTCTACACCAGTGGCGATTTTCAGAAGGACAACATAAAATCATTGTGATGTAATGGGGAAGGTATCATCATGACTGACTTTTAATTGAGTTTCTCAGCAATTACAGCAAAGAGAGGGAACTTTGAGATCTAAGTGCACACCTATCCAGCATTTCGTTCTGCCTTCTACTGGGACTTAAGAGACTGGCAGTATTTTTATTGGGGTTACTGTGCTGTATTTAGCTGTGAGAAACTGAAAGCTGAGTACCTCAGCTTGAAATTGTTTCATATTTAGTGCAGAATTTATTAGTATGTAACTAAGAATGCTTATTGCGACAACAAGCAATCAAATAACCCATACTCAGATTCCCAGACAGTGCAGGTGGTATTCACCTCAGTTACCACAGAAACATACAGGACAGGTACCTACACCTGACTCTTTGCACTTCTTTCATTGTTAGTGGGAAGAAATGCAAAATTCTAGTGCATGCTAGTCTAGATGCTGATGAGATCAGGTCAGATGAATTGCACCTCTAGTGGGGTCAGTTTCTCTCCACTAAAAATGAAAGAGACTAAACGATTAGCTCTGATGGTGTCCCCCTAGAGACATACTTTGATATGGAACAGATCCCCTGCTTTGGGCATACACCAAGTGCAGGTGGTGCTATAACAACAATACCAAGACAGAAGGTATTGCCACCTTTAGGTAACTGAAGTGAATCTTCCTCATATAAAGAATCTTAAACCACTTCCAGAACCACAGCAAATCCCAGACTCAAGTCAATCAAATAAGCTGCAGTATTGCTTACTGCAATATGATCTTGGAAGGTGTTAACATTGTGACTGGGAACTGCAATGCAATTAGGCACAATTACCAATTTAAATGACATGCAGCAGTGGGAAGGAGAAAGAAACAGAGATCAAATATTAAGAGCAACTACTCAAGTATGAGATAGGCTATGAAAAAATCATCTGGGAGTGAACAACTCTGTAAGGGTACAGAGACTTGAGGAGGCCCCTTCCATACATAAAGGATATGTGGGTTTTGACCAAAAACTTGACTAGCTTTATGAGAAGTATGCCAAAGGGCCCCCTGCCCTCAGCTACATGCTGTCAGTGCTCGCTTTTATTTTTCATTTTTCCAAAAGATGCCTAATTCACTTCTGAGTCCAGCATGAAACTAGCAACAATTGAACAGCCAACGTCTTAATAAGCTACCACCCACATTTGTCCATCTCCACATACCTTCTCTGTGTTAATTTGCTTTCAACAGCAACATTTTCCAGGTTTGTTTTATGTTTTTCAGCTATAGTGCAAATGTAAAGTCTTCCTCCATGCAAAAGTTGCTTATGTTTAATTATTTCTTACCTGAATAGGAGTGTTGTGTCCCTTCACTAGATATCGCTGATGTTCCTCCAATGGCTGTAATACCTTGTTTTTTGTTTATTGATTTTCGGAAAGATTTGCTAACGTCTTTACTTTTCAATTCCTGAATTATCTAGAATAAAAAAATAAATTAGAGAGCATTTTATGATTGGTCACGCCTTCAAATAACCAAACGATAACTCTAGAGTCAGTACTTAACCTGACTGCCTTTCTTTTGCATTTACATTTACTTCTGTTCTGAAAAAAAGTTTACTGTATGGGTAAAACCAGTTTAAATCCCTTCATGAAACTTGTATACTGGATATCCAATATTATTTCTCAGTGAGTACCTCAAGTGCTACATTCAACAATCTACGCATTTTTTCCACAGATATTTTGGTAAACTAAAGAAAACAACTAAAGATACACAAATTTTCAATGACTATAGCATATTTCTTCCCCATTCTCAAAATATTAGTTATTTTTATGAAAATATTACTTAGTTGTAACACTTATTTCAGTTTTCTAGCCTAGTTATCAACAGCTATCAGACAGTAGAGAAACATCTAAAGGGAATGTCTCACAGAAACAAATTCTTCAAAGTCAATTCTCCCGTCCTTGTTGGTATCTGTTACTGCAATGATTTTTTCTACAATCTCACGGACTTTGTAACCAGGCAAGGGCACACTTGCTTCTTTAAACAGGTCTTGAAGCTCATAATCACTGACATACCCACTGTTGTCAATATCTGTAAAATGAAAGCACTAGTTATTTTTATACTTATGTAAAGAAGCAAATACAGCAACTGTCAAGAATAAAAGCACGAGAAATATAGTTCTAGGAGACAAGTATTTCTTCTTCTGACACAGGTAAGTAAGCATGAAGGAATACTTGCGGATTAGAGCCACAACTGGCTAGAAGTTGTGCCACCTTGCTGTGTGTTTTCTCAGGAACTACTTTATAATCCCAAACCAAAGCTAGAACAATATGGAAAATTTTTAAAGAACAAAATTTAAGCTTTTTTTTTTTTTAGGACTCCCACCAAAACTCTCTATAGACCTTCAAGTAAAATGAAGATAAGTTATTATATTCTTACTTTTCATATTACACTGTTTGCAGTCAGTAAACTCAAATCTGATTAAACTTGTTATTAGAAGAGCACATTTACAGAAGAAAAACTACATATAAAAGAAGTCTGCCTGACTCTGCATTTTGTTTCTTATCCTACTGTCTGATAGACACTTTCTGTTCTTCAGAAATTTTGATGTGGTTAGGCTTACTTGTGAAGAATAAACTGGGGATGATGTGTACCTATTTACTAAAGGTGACCTTCCTTAATTTATTAACTAGGTATGTTGGGAGCAGTTTGTATCACCACCTTCACTTACACTTGGCTCGCAAGACCAAATCAGGAATGTCTATATACAGCAAGGTATCAGAATGCCTTTTTCAACAAGGGGTATGGTATAGCTCCACAACTGTGGAAAAAAATGAATGGCTGTATCACATGAAAAAAAAATTTAAAAGGTTCAGTTAATTTGTGTTACAATTAATAAGCAGCACAGATGAAAATACCCTTCATACTTCCCCTATGGGCCAATCTGTATGCAGAAAGTGTCTTGAATTCTTGTCTTAGTATACTAAAGCATCATTTAAAAAACTTATGTTTTTGTCCAGTGTAACAGATAATACGTGTTTGATTCATTAGCTGGTCCTATTTTTTATATTTATGCGTATTTCCATATATATGTACACACATATCTGTGCCAGCAGAATTTGAGAATGACCATTAAAAAAGCCTTAACTGTACTTGTAGTGCAATGTCTATGCAAAGGAGAGTACTTTTCAAAGTAGACAATCACCGTATAGGTGAAGCTTAACAAAATACAAGAAATCATAACCAGCATAAATAGCGCTGGATATAATGCCACAATTTTATATATTTAATGCTAATATTTTCCAAGTTTGACAAAAACTTTTGAGTCTTTTTCATGACCATACTTAAGCTCTTGAAAAATACAAATATTATTTTCCCAGTTCTACAAAAGATGCATCTAAGATAAGTAATTTAAAAGAAATCCACAAGTAACACAAGGAGTCAGAAACAGAAGCAAGACTTGGCCACTTTTCTGACTTGTCAAGGTGCTCCAATTTTGGTTTCTTTGGATTACTACTTAAAAAAACCTCCCCACGTTGCCTCTAGTATCAAAACTCAGCCAACGCTATCAGAGTGGGTGAGTATGCATCACATTACAGAAGGGCAAGCAGAGAAACATGCTTTCATCTCTAGTCATAACTGATTGCTGTATGGTCATTTCCCTGTAATCTATACTACATTAAGTAGTTTCTGCACAGCTTCATAAGGCAGCCACGTTTCACTACTGACAAGAAGGCTAACAACATCTGTTAAAAAAAAAAAATACTCCTCTTTCTGTTTTCAATACTACCAACAGCTCATGAAACACTACACAGAAAAGCTTTATGTCCGCAAATGTATTAACCTGCTGTATGACTTGCAGACATGTCACAATACACATAATAATAGGGATAATTGTAAAAGCAGAGGACATGCTCATGAGCTCACTCAAGTTACCAGCTATTTTATTTCTCTTGGTTCATCTTTCACGGAAGCTAAGTTTCCATGATGACAAGCAGAGAGTTAGATGCCTTTTCTCTCAGTTTACCAATACAACTGCAAGCAATCTACCCATAAAGACACTGGAAATGTAACAATGAAAAAAGAAAAATACAATGATGCTAATTTTTTCCTGTTTTACAGAAAGCATAATACAATAAGAAAACGTTTGTCAGTGAGTAGGAGCAGTACAGAGAATTCTTGGAGCAGAAACTTGAAAACACAGAAATGAAAGGGAGAAAGAGAAGAAATGCAGATGGTGAAAACCAAATAGAAAAGCTGTCTGACAGTACCAGTGAGCACTACTAATCCTAACACCTCACAGTAGATTAATACATGCATACAGTGCTCTTTAACATGGTCTGTCTTTCCAGCTCCTACAGGCTATAGACTTCTTGAGCTACAGACTGTCAAGAGGATTGTTTAACAGCAACTCATGAATTGTTGTCTGTGATTGCATCTTATTCCTTTAACATATCTGTTCTTGGTCTGAACAACATCCCAATACAATAGGTTCATGGTTTTATTATTTTACATGAAGAAAAGTTGCTTCTTTCCATGTTAAGCTTTCTGACTCTCTACTGGGCATCACATGATACCTGTATTGACAGATACTGAGTAATCTCCTCTTCACCTTTTCTATGCTACATACAGTCTTAAGAGGTCTCTAACCTACAGCTTCCCAACACTCTTTAACAAACTGGATCCTAATATTTAAGTCTTCTTGCCTAAAGCAACCCCGTTTTCCCATTATGAATTTTTATAAATATATTAGTTATATTTGCTGAGCTGCAGTTAAACATCATCCCTTCAGAACCGCAGCAAATAAGAAGTAAAGCAGACATGTACTTATAGCATTCACAACAATACTGCAATCTGGAAATAAGTGTTAGTTGCTATATCATTTCTCACTCTTTTTGTTTACTCTCCAATTAATCCGCAAACAGCCTGTCAAGCATACAAAATTGTACAGTTACTTATTAACATTCGCTAGCTACAAGAGCAAGATCAAAAAGTCTCCAAGATTACCTTTACTTTCAAATGTAAAATCCAATTCATTCAATAAATAAAAAAATTACTAGTTCAAAGTGTGCAAGCAAAGCAAAACCAAAGTGTCAGCAATTTAACATGAAAATAAGTTTAATCAAACTTTGTTTTTAAAATCTAAGTTAAAAAAAAATTATTGAGACCTATCATACTGCATATACAATGGCACAATAATGCAACTGCTCAGCAAGAAAATGTATCTGTTTTAGTTGCTGAAGTTGAAATAAATTAATAAACACACACAGTTTCAGTGAAAATTAGGTGGTTTATGTAAACATTCTTGTTTTCATAGCTATTGCTGGCAACACAGAAGAAAAACACATCCCTATCAAAACGAAGTGATCCATAAAGATTTCTTCCACAAACCCTACATGGTTTTGCATCCTCATTTTTTACGTAAAGCATACCTATTTTACTGAATGCTTCTCTTAGTTCTTCAAGCTCTTCACGAGAGATAGTAGTTATGTTGTTTTCCATCTCTGGACAGCAAGAAGTATTGTCTTCAATTGCTTATACCTAATTATAATAAACAGGAAATATATAAAGCTTTAATTCCAAGCACATATTAATGTAAGTAATGACCATGTACATAACGACCTTTTCAATGCAAGGTACAAGACCTGCATGACATTTCCAGTCCTGTCATACTTAAAACATTACAAACAACACTTCAGAGTACATCAAACACCTAGCAAATTGTTTCACTGTAGTGACTGAGAATTCACGATAGCAGCACCTGTTTTCATACACTTGATGTTTTCATTTACATAGTATAAGCACTGACCAGCAATCAACCTCCTCTGCTTAAGTGGTTTTCCGACAATAAAATGGTTTGTTGAAATGAAAGGTAATTTTAAGAAAGATTTATTTCCAAGTGCAATGCAGTATCATTGCCATGAACGGTCAGTGCTAGGATCTAGGCATGCAAAGCACTGAGCACTTCAACATTTGCACAGTAGTAAACCTCAGTGGGACACCTTCAAGTACCTGCTTACAGCCAGTGCATGAACACTGATGAGACTTTCTATAGCTGCTGCAGAAGCTACCACCTCCTGACCTTTACTCTGCTCTTCTGACAAGCTCGTTGTTTCATAACACTGTCAAAGAACCAAACAAAAGCTTTTACTTAGCACAAATACTGGAGTCTCGATGTGAATCTACTTTCTCTACTCAACTCCATAAAAAGGCAAAACAGAACTGAAGGCACCTTTGCAAGGGTGATAAAACCCCATAATGGACCCTTGCCCACTTCCTCCTAACGAAGCTTTACTAGAGCAGGACTCTTGTTAGTAAGTGCAAGTTTGTAAACAAGTCACACACAACTGCCTCAATACACAAGCTTGTATTTGACATCGCCCACTGTGCACATGCCATTAGCATATACATAGTCAGCATACTGCACCACACGTCTGTATGTAGTAAGTTCTGAGCAGCGCTTGGCTGTGGAGAGCATAATCTGCTACAGGTGGTGCTGTGCCTACCATGAAATACAAGTTTTGTCTTGGCTTAACTTTATAAGCCAAAAGTTGCAAAATAACCACCTTATATAAGTTTTTTTTCAACATTGTCCTATACCTGTGTTTGTTTTCTGTTCTGGTTTGGTTGCTCTGGTATAGTGTTTCTGCTTTAGAGCAAGAAAAATATTTCTGTAATGGTCAGATTATTATTTATTCATACTATTCACATCTGCTATATGAAGCTGCTTCTTCCCTCAGAACCTTGCCTATCAACAGAACTATACTGCTACCCACTGGACAAGACACTGGAATTCAACATGAATTCAACAACTGATTTTACTATGGACCTGCTGGATGCCCTTCGGCAAGGCTGTACCTCTGCCTCCTGCCTTTGCATGTCCTGACTAACCAGGTTACAAACTTTCCCAGTGCCCGGACTGTCCCTTTTTTGTGCAGACTAGATGGGTGCACACCTGCAACAACAGGATCCTTCTAAGGTCAGCTGCAAGACTGTAATGATAGAACCAGAATCTGGTGCAGAACACAGGAGATTAAACATTAGCAATATGAATTTGTTAGAAAATAATTTCTTTCCCATTCTAGCTGCATCAGTTTTCTTTCAAACCTTGACAATCTGACAACAAGAAAAATATAACCCAGGACAATGAAGCAATAGCATGGGTCACCAGCACATGAGAGAAGAGGCAGCAGGGCACTTTATCAGCTGCAGTTTTCTTGGGGATCATGCCAACAAGTGAAACAGACTTCCTGGAGGTCTACCAAGGAGGGTATACAGCATCACTGATGGGAGTTAAACCTACTCTATTGTGAAAACATTTTTAAGACAAAAGTCAATTAGCTGTGATCAGCCACAGGCAGGTCTATCATTGCCTCACTACATCACTGAAGCGTCTCCCAGTTTCAGAATTTTAAGCGGCGACACGACCGCTGCAGATTATTTTACTGAGAAAGACATCACAGTTCTGTATTATTAATGTCAAAGCTTGATGTTTTCTGCACTTGGGTAGAACGTTTTGTCTATCACAAATTGCCTCTTCCTGACTGCCTATGACAGGAGACCAAACAACAAGTACAGCACAACCTGCTGATTTGCACAGTTCACAGATTGCTTGAAGGGACCACAGGGTCAGCCCTTCTCTGGTTCTGTAGCTACCTCCAGCTACGCAGAGAGGGTGGATTCCCACTGTATTCAACACCTAGGGCTGTCAAATATTTTAATACCCTCATATTTAGAGAGTTATCTCTCTGGAGAAAATGAGAGATGATACAACTTGTCAAAAAACAAAACAAAACCAACCCCCATCTGGATTACAGATTTAGTTGCAAATGAAATTTTTAAGAAACACAGTTATTGAACATATTTGGATACTATGTTGGAAAGTATGTTGCTGGATGGAGATTCGGGTAGAATTTGACAAGGTGTTGGTAGTGATAATTTTACTCAAACCTACCAATATAAAGTTACGTATTACAGCATTCCTCCTCATACTATTCTACCTTTTGCTGAACCCAGAATGCTGCACTTGTATAGAAAATTGAAATAAATATTAAATAATAGTAAATGAAAAAAAAAAAAACACAACCCAGTTTTTCAGAGATCTTTCTTACCTGTAATTATGCACATGTTTAGATTGCCGGGCACTGTTCAGTAAGATGGTGTTGATTCCCTCAGCAGCATTTTCATAAATGAAAATAAATTCTTTTACCTTAGATTTTCTAACACAAGAGGCAATGGGAAAACCTTTTTGCTACTCTTTTTACTGTGGTAAGAGAACTCTGTACAGGAGGTAATGAACCATCATGTACTGTGAAATATTCACTAAGAATTCTTGATCTGTTTGTAATGAAAAAAGTACTCTGCAGGAAATGGTGGAAAAGTCTCTGGAGCTAAGAAAAAATGAAAGAAAAAAAAAAAAGCTGAACAAGGTATCCTACGTGTAGCTAAACCTTTATGCAGAGTGACAAAAGCAGCATTCATGAGCTAGCAATGATTAACTCACAACTTTTTTCAAAATACTATTTTGAAATGAAAACAACTACTTGTTCAACATACTATAAAATACAGTGAGTTGGTTTTAAAACACGTTTTTTACACCTTTTTTTTTTTCTCTTTTTGGGGTGGAGAGGTTAATCTTTGGGGTTTGTTTTGACCTTTGTGCTTATCTGAAACCAAAGTTAGGCATTTCCGTCAAAAAAAAAAAGATCACTTTAAAGTTAAGCTTCTCATTTAACAAACTTCAACTGAGGGTCAGGGTTTTAAGGAAAATAAGTAACATGAGATGTGGTGAAACCTCCTAATATAGCAAATGCACTGCCAGACCACTCTAGGAAATACAGGAAAATTTTTGTCTCAAGGGTTACGTGACTACTGTCTTGAAGTACAAAAGTAAAAATATTTATTTGGGCCCTATCTGCAGCATATGCATTTATTTATCTACACTTACACTCCTGTGTAACAGAGACAAAATAAGTAATGGGCTCTGTGTGACTACTTCTCATCTCAGCAAATGTTGCTGCTTCCTTTCAGGCAGTAGTTCACTTTTCTTCCATGATGCTATATAAAGTTTCCATACTGATTTATTTGTCTTCCATGATGATATATAAAAATAGTTCTTAAACAACCGTAGGTTAATGAGGTCTTGTCTTCTTCATTAGGGTATTTTCTGTGTGTTCATTGGGACTGTTCCTGAACACAGGATATGGCCTTGAGTGTGGGTGGTGAGTTAAGTCTTTTTCCTTCATGTCACTAGATCTCATTTAAGTACTAAAATCCTACTTATCCATTTTGCTAAGCTTACTAGCAGCATGTATCAGTCTTTATACTCAAAAGAAAAAAATATATATAAAGAAATTACTTTTTACAGATGTTTCTGGAAGTGCAAATACCTTCGCAGGAAGCCAGATGTGGCAATTAAACAAATAAGGAACTGTGAAAAAATTGGGGTAAGCAAATAAACATTTAAATATTAATTATAAGGAAATTTAAAGGACTCTGAAGCTGCAGTAAAACCCCAAAATACAATCCTCTGAAATACAGAAACAGCACAGCATAACAAAGCACGAAATACTTAGACATGCAGGTGCAAAAGGCAACATCACTTGTCATACTGTTAATGTTTTCAACTGTTTACAATTACTTTGAGTCAGATTTTATCAAAAGCATTTTCTAGAAAGTTTCAATATAATTAGTTTCACCCCTCCCTTTTTATGGTTCATAATTCAAATTATCCATCATATTCTTTTTCCAAAAATAGCAGTCTTTGATTCCAAAGACATTATTTCAGCAACACAGTAGAAACACCTGTTCTTGAATGAAGCAGATTAAAAAAAACTAACACCTCTGCTCTAAAGAGACAGTCTTAAATACCCTATAATATAATTATAGGGTAAATTAGCTGGTCAATTAAATGGCAGAAGCGCTGAAATCATGGTTCTGGCCTTCAGGAGAGAGCTAGTTTGGGCAGAGTCAACACCTAAACTAGTCAGACATTTGAGACTATTTCAATATACCAACAAGGACCTTCTATCTAAGCTAATAAATACCTTACACAGGTTTATCACTGCCCAAGATGGCTCAGTTCACAGGCAACCCTGACAAGATTTAACATTAAGTCTGCAAAGGTACATGTCCGTTATATGACTATGACTACCTGCTGAAAGATGTATTCATTTACAGAGAACACATTTCTCTCTACTCTGGTAGTGTTTGTATGACACTTGGATTTTCTATAGTCTATGCTTACATCAAACCATCTCCTGCTGCCCCAGGACAAGGCAGGTATAAACATTGGGTTTATGCTGAGAAAGTGTTCCTGATCCTCTTTTCAGTCCTTGCCAATATGCTTAACATGAACTAACAACACTGATCTATCCCTAGCCTGCCTTCTATACCTGGAAGGCTGTTTCTATCTGAAGACAATTTACTGGAGTATCCTTGAAATGTTTCATATCCAACAATACAATACAGATATCCATATCCACTAATATAATACAATATCAATACAGATACAAACTACAAACTATTTTTCATACCATCAT